TTAAGCTGAAATCATATTGTGCCAATTTTATGCGAGTGAAACCGGTGCAATTTAAATTTTTCCCTTGTGAACATGTGAAACCAGTGCAGTTCTACTCAAAACTGTAATCTCAACTAATAACAATTGGAGAAATGAAGATACTATATAATTAGGCTCCACACATGTTGAGCAGGAACTTTTACAGTATTGAAGAGGATCAATGCAATTTCACTGATGCAGGTCATGTGTATGTACATTACTGGCCATCTTAACACCCTTTTTCCAGCAGAACATCGTAAAGAAATTCTACGCTACCTATACTGTCACCAGGTGATACATCTAATTTCTCGATATAACTTCAATTCAGATGAATTCAGCTGTCTATCTTTTGCTGTTTAATGATGGATTAATGGCCTTTCCAACATAAAAGAATGAAGATGGTGGCTGGGGTTTTCACATAGAGGGAGATAGCACAATGTTCTGTACAACACTCAGTTACATATGTATGCGTATACTGGGAGAAGGACCTGATGGTGGACAAAACAATGCCTGTGCTAGAGCAAGAAAATGGATACTCGACCATGGCACTGTCACAGCAATACCTTCATGGGGAAAGACGTGGCTTTCAGTAAGGAGGATTAGATGCACTCGATAGTGTTAAGGAATTGTTGTACTTTTGGTTTATGAAAGTTTAATAATAATTTTTTGTTTCAGATACTCGGAGTGTTTGAGTGGTATGGAAGCAACCCAATGCCCCCGGAATTTTGGATTCTCCCATCGTTTCTTCCTATGCATCCAGGTTTGCCAAGTTCTAATAACAGAAAATCCACTTAATTTGGATAAGAGTATCAACTAATGATGATACTTAACACAAAATGCAGCCAAGATGTGGTGCTACTGCAGAATGGTTTACATGCCAATGTCATATTTATATGGAAAAAGATTTGTTGGTCCAATCACGCCGCTAATTCTACAACTGAGAGAAGAGTTGTATGATCAACCCTATTATGAAATCAACTGGAGGAAAATACGTCACTCCTGTGCAAAAGTAAGTTGTCATAGTATGTTTTATTCCACAGATATTAATATGCAATCATCACAGTCAGTGCAGGAACACTAATGTAGACGATCTCTAGGTAACAGAATCTAGGTCACTAACAAAAACTATGTCAGCTACTGTCAAATGTGTGCACATTCTGTGGTGCATTCTTAAAACTCGAACACAAAAAACCTGATTTTGAACACGAACAACCTATTCGACTCCTTTCCAGGTTGTTATATACCTGATCTGAACTATACAATGTTAATGCAGGAGGACCTGTATTACCCTCACCCATGGATACAAGATTTGATTTGGGATAGTTGTTACGTACTTACGGAGCCTCTCTTGACTCGTTGGCCTTTCAACAAGTTGAGAGAAAAAGCTCTTCAGGTAACAATGAAGCACATTCACTATGAAGATGAAAATAGCAGATATATCACCATAGGATGTGTGGAGAAGGTGTTATGTATGCTGGCTTGCTGGGCTGAGGATCCTAATGGAGATTATTTCAAGAAGCACCTCGCTAGAATCCCCGATTATTTGTGGGTAGCCGAAGATGGAATGAAGATGCAGGTAAATGCTCTTTGGTTGTCTTTTACAAACCTATTATTAACAACCTAAATGTATTGATAAAAACACTTGGTATACATAAATCTGAAAGTAACGTGAATCTACAAGAAAATTTATTTTGAGATATTCTAAGTACGACGTTTAGAATTTCATAAAGTTGAATTATTTGGTTCTGAATAGCTAATTAAGATTTATAATAACCATTGTGATGCAGAGTTTTGGCAGTCAAGAATGGGATACTGGTTTTGCGATTCAAGCACTTCTGGCTAGTGATCTTACTGATGAAATAGGAGAGACTCTAAAGAAAGGGCATGATTTCATCAAAAAGTCTCAGGTAACAAATTTAACAAATTAAAACACTACATTAAGATAGAATCTATTGGCATTTTGATTGGGAGTCTTAGACAGAACTAGATGGTAATAATGATGAAAAAGAAACTAGAACTTTGTTTATTATTCTATTCAGTCTTATCCAATACTGTACCGAAGATACATTTTTTTTAGTTGTATACTCACACTGTATACTTTCAGGTCAAAGACAATCCTTCTGGAGACTATAAGAGCATGTACCGACATATTTCTAAAGGATCGTGGACATTTTCAGATCAAGATCATGGATGGCAAGTATCTGATTGCACAGCAGAGGGTTTAAAGGTCTCCATCTTTATCTAGAAACTAAACTCATTTGATTTGGAAATTTAAAAAAAAATAAAAATTTGTATCTGAATTCTTACATAATATAATTGGTTTACCTTTTCCATTTGAATTCGTTAGTGTTGCCTGCTCTTCTCAACGATGTCTCCTGGGATAGTTGGTGACCAAATGGAACCTGCAAGATTATTCGATGCTGTCAACATATTGATTTCCTTGCAGGTATGATTTGAGATTTTCCCATAGATCTAGTCAACCCCGCAACCAGTATATACAACTACTTAAATTTTGTAAAGCTTTATATAGCTCATCTAATTATAACGTACCTGGCCTTTCAATTGCTTAAGTAAATTAAGACCCCAGAATGAACATGTCAAAATAGATCAACAATTCATAGGGTAGAAGTGTCATATTATGGACTCTGCAACCACATCTAAAAGTTTAAGTTATTAGAGAGAGCATAGTTTCAAGACACCTCCTTACATGCAGGTCAGATTCATATTTTTCTATCAGTGTCCTATCACATTAACAATTTTCATAAATAGGTGAAGACTTGAATTGATGGCATCTAATACCACGTTAAATTACCTCATCTAAAAAGTTAAGCTATTAAAAGGGGACGCTTTTAGTCTTAACGTGGATGAAAAACGTTTCTTTAATTTGCCCTTTTTCTGAATCATTGATTGTTACAATCACACTGAGTAACAACCAGAGCTCTCGACATGTTATGATAAATGCAGAGCAAAAATGGTGGTTTAGCTGCATGGGAGCCTGCAGGAGCCTCAGAATGGTTGGAGGTAGTTTCTTCTGCTAAAAGTTCTTGAATTTTAACAAAATATTCAGTATTAAGATTTTCCAACTGTATTGTGTCTATGAAAACAAAAGTAAGTAAATAACTGCTGTTCATTTTACCGCAGCTGCTCAATCCTACAGAGTTTTTTGCTGACATTGTCATCGAACACGAGTAAGATTCATCCACTTTCGTCTTTTCCTAATGAGGAACCCGTGTTATCTAGAACGAGCCTAACAAGCCTTTTTATCCTGCAGGTACGTGGAATGCACTTCATCAGCAATCCAAACTCTTGTACTATTCAAGAAATTATACCCTGAACACAGGAAAAAAGAGATAGAAAACTTCATTGTAAAGGCTGTTAAATACCTTGAGGACATCCAGAGGCCAGATGGTTCATGGTATACTTTCCTTCTGATGATTTAGCGACAACTTGAAGTATTACACATTGTTTTGCATTATTTATCGCATGAACAAGCATGTATACAGGTATGGAAATTGGGGGGTGTGCTTCACATACGGTTCCTGGTTTGCTCTTGGAGGTCTAGCAGCAGCAGGAAAGAGCTACAACAATTGTCCAGCAGTTAGAAAAGGTGTCGAATTTCTACTAAAAGTACAGAGGGATAACGGTGGCTTTGGAGAGAGTTATCTTTCCTGCCCAAAAAAGGTAGTTTCTACTGTTCAACGGAAAATATTGTTACCATTCTACAGAGCATATATACCATAAATGCATGTTCCATACACAGTATTGGACTATATAATGAACAAAATTAAGTTTCTTTTTCTTTCTCAATACTGCTCCTTGCCAAACATGCCGTAATATTTATAGGCTTGTATCCACACTTTGGATAAGAACGAAAAATAGAGCATATATACAAGAAATGTCTACTTACTTTCTGAGTTTCAATGAACAGGAATATGTCCCTCTGGAAGGAAACCGCTCAAATTTAGTACATACTGCCTGGGCTATGATGGGACTTATTCATTCAGGCCAGGTTTGTCTTCTTTTACAATATTCTTCCTTGAGTTACTAATCTATAATGCTATCAACTGATTTTATTTCCATCAAAAAATTAATCACCCATTTTTCAAAAAAATAAAAAAATTTGGTAGGCGGATAGAGATCCTACCCCTCTCCACAGAGCAGCAAAACTTTTGATCAACTCTCAGATGAAAAATGGTGATTTTCCCCAACAGGTAAAATATAATTACGCATCCCACATACCTTCTTAATTTCTATTTTTTCCAAATTAAAATAATTAAATAAAAATTTGCAATTTCACAAATGCAATTTGCTCCTAATTACATGTTTCATATAACTAAACATCATATTGTTCATGTATTGGCAGGAAATCACAGGAGTTTTTATGAAGAATTGCATGTTACATTATGCAGCTTACAGAAACATATACCCATTGTGGGCTCTAGCAGAATATCGAAGAACGGTTCTCTTACCATCCAAAACCATTTAAAGCCTATAAAGTTTATTGTATTATCCATAAACTTCTAAATGCATTCGGAATAATCCTTGTTTTATTTTTCCATTCAATATAAATAATATGTACTGGTGTCTCATTTTGTTTGTATATTCGGTCGTTGTGTACTAAACACGTCTTTAGCGTGTGTGCTGAAAAATGCACATAAACACACATCCAAAGAAAGTAGAAATGTCATCTCCAAAACAAAAACTACAAAACCTGATGTTGCTTCATTGCCAATAAATTTAAAGAAGACTATACAAATGCCAAATCCATAACCCCATAAGAGTGATGCAGCCGATTCAGACACTCAGTTAACCAGTACATCCTTAGAAAAGCCAAACAGATACGACACCAAGACTACAAACAGAAAGTACCGTAAATTGAATAGTTCTTAGCTGGAATAATGCACATAAACACAGAAATGCGTCTAATATTTAGACAATAAAAGTCACCAACATCACTATGGAGGATATTTCCACAATCAAACCTATGGAAATTCATTTCTTCCTCGACCAATCCCACTTTTGCTTTCAAGCCGTACATCTGTAATGAAGATATCTTTTGAAGCAGCCTTGCACATATCATATATTGTTAGACCAGCAATTGTCACTGCTGTCAAGGCTTCCATCTCCACACCGGTTTTGCCATTGGAAGCAGCTTCACTTTCTATTCCCACGCAAAGGTCCCGAGGATTCAGTGTTATATTTAAAGCAACGTGTGACAAATTGATATTGTGGCATAGTGGGATAAGGTTGCTCGTTTGTTTCGCACCACAAATTCCAGCAATTTTCGCTAAACCAAGAACATTCCCTTTTTCCATCTAGTTGGCTGAGACCAAATCAAACACCTTCTGATCTAGAATAACTTTGCAACTTGCAATGGCCACTCTCTTCGTTATCTCTTTGGGAGAGATATCTAACATTTGGGCTTCACCACTACTATCAGTATGAGTCAAGCCAAACGACGAAAAACTTAGTGCCACATGAGTTGGTGCAGACTCTGAGTCTTGAGCCATACTTCGGTTGTCTATTGAACCAGCAAGACTAGATTTTGGAGGTTCACCAAATACAGATTCCATGTCCTGCATCCAATTACACAGTTATTAATAACCTTTAAAAAAATGTTGTTCTCTCAATCTATAGAGCTTCTCGACTAGAATTACTCCTTCCATCTTACTTTAAACGCAATTTTTTGATGTAATTTTTCAATTATTTGACTTCCTAAAAGAACTTAATGTCCACTTTTTAAGCTTTAGATGACAAATCATAATACCATATTTATTTTCCAGTATTCAAAATTTCCAAATACTGCCTATTTCTATTTTTTTACAATCATATCTACATTATTTATTGAACTCTTGAATAGCTTATTGAACTTTTGAATAGTTTAGATGAATGAAAGATAAAAACAAAAACAAAGGGATCACACTAAAACGTGAAAAGATACCTTATTGATCTCTTGAATAGCTTTCGGAAAATCGTAACTGCTATTGCTGCCAAAGAACCTACTTCTTTGTAGAGGCTCAAGTGTTTTAGACGAAACTCGACGAAAAAGCATCATGTCCAGAGCCTGTAATGCAGTAAACAGAAGCGTTAGGGAGGAGGAAGATCAAATATGAGTTAATACTCTCAATTTTCTCATTCAGACATATTCACAAACACTTTAAAACTGTCTAGTAGCATCCTTCTGAGCAAAAATTAAAAGTTGGCAATGGATTTCATTCTATGATGATTACAATATTAGAAATTCAATAATCAAGCTATAACCGAAGATCAGCTCATATTTTCATATATGTGATAAAGAATTACAATCATATGTAAAGTATATTCACGAATATAAATATGATGTTACCTCCTATATTAAAAAAATGAGGGTGGCAACACCGTCTATTTTGAATTTTCACAAAGATTTCCTGTACAAATTTAGAAGAAAAAGCTTGCGAGATTAACAAAAAATTAATTTGAAAATACTTATGTAATAAGTTATGAGTTAAAAAATTTCCATTTTTTCTTTTTAAAAGAAAAAGACTGATTTTTTTTTTTTTTCGAGTAATTGGCGCAACGTCCTACCTTTGAAGGTTTTTGTGAAAAACGTCCATACCTCTCACATTCTTTGCACTGAACATCATCTTTTACCGATTTTTAACATAAAATGACAATTTGCTCCTAAACCTTTTTAAAAATGCAAATCAGTCCAACATCTCAAACTTTTCATCATCAACTTTAATCATAGAATCAATTAAATTGGAGCTTTACACGCTAATTTCCCCTTCTTCAAATGCTATTGATTTGGTTAGCTCCGTCTTGATTAAACCCTCTGTTTCTACACGTTCTTCTTTAATTCTTGATTCCTTGAGGTCAATGACGAAATGATCCTCTGTTAGCATGTTATTTTGGCTAATTCAAAATTATTTGAACTTTAATCCTTTAATAGTTTAGTATTGCGATGACATATCCCATAAGCATGTCAGCAGTCATCATCTTCTCCGTATGGATCATCCCAAAAAACTTTATTCACTTCTGTTTCGCGTGGTTACTCGCTAACAATTAAAAGAGGATCAGACGATTGTGCAAGGGACAAACATCTTGAAACAAAGTCTCAAAAATGGGTGTTTATCGAACATGAAGATTACAGTTTGGATACAGACAAGATGC